TTGACCCCTTAAGGAGTTATTGCCCTTTATAGTCAATTTTTTACAAAATTCATAAATTTTGTAAATTTTTGTAAACTTTTACAAAATATTTTCCACTGTAACTACTGGGCCAAGTTCATTATAGATAGAGATAATTGTAAGCAGCAAGAATGTTCAGTAAAGTAAGATCTACAAACACATCACCATCACCAAAACACAATTTTGTCATGAATCCATCTGTGTCCTTTGTTTAATATGCACATAGACCAAGGTGAGCGACACATGCTCTTTAGAGCCTCTAGTTTGTCATATCCTCCAATTTTAAGGGGCAAATAAATGCTAAAAAACAGTGGGGTGAACGTATAGGTAGGAGCTTTACTGTACATTTCAATTCAAACATAGGTTTTTCATTGTTGAAGGTCGTACGGTGACCGATAGTTGTTAATTTCTGTGTCATTTGGTCTCTTGTGGAGAGTTGTATCATTGGCAATCATACCACATCTTCTTATTTTTATATTGTCTAAGTGCCAATGCATTAACACCATAAACAAATTTGTGGCATAAATTGCAATACTAATTGCGATTAAAGAAAAGTTTGAAAATCGGTGTCGTGACATTCTTATTTGATTTTCTCTGTTTTTGACTAATGCGTAAAGTAGACGAAATGAAACAAAATAAAATGTCAATGGATTTTTTTTATAGATTTGACAGGATATAGTAGCACATTCTATCGAAATATTTCAAGATTCTTTCCAAAGTACTTGATGCTAAATGGGTGAGTCATATTTTCTGATTGTAAATCTGTCATCATATTATATCTTTATTGCATTACATATTTTGATTTAGATTATGACTTTTATTCTATCAAAACTAACCAAAAAAGTTCACTGTATAAAAGTTCATCATGTTAAGATGCTTGTTTGTCATTCATGATTGAATGAGAACATCCAGTTTATTTTAGGGCCTCGGTTGCCAGGTGGTTTTAGTAGTCGAGCTACTGTATCACTAGCCTGTCAACACTGAGGTTGAGAGTTCGAATCCCTTACGTGGCATGTGCGCTCAACTCCAATCTTAATTGACTAGGAATGTCAGTTTTTCTACCAAAGGTCAGCGGTTCTTTCCGGGCTCTCCGGCTTCCTCCACCAATAAAACTCTAACCGCCACTACATAGCACAATAGTGCCAAACTTGGCGTTAAATATCTATCAATCAATCAATCCAGTAAATTATTATTTAAAAAGTAAAACAGCAAACATACCGAACTCCAATGAAAATTTAAAACGGAAAGTCCTTTCTCAAATGGCAAAATCAAAACACATCAAACGAATGGAAAACAACTGTCATATTCCTGACTTGGTACAGGCATTTCCTTATGTAGAAAATTGTGGATTGAACCTGATTTTATAGCTACCTAAACATCTCACTTGTATGACAGTCGCATAGAATTCCATCATATTGACAACAGTGTATGAGCAAAACAAACAGACATAATAGGTAAAATTGTCAAAAATTGGGTACAGCAGTCAACATTGTGTTATAATCTTAAACACTATAAAAACAAATAACTATTTCAACAAAGAAAAACAAAATGTCATATTGACACTCAGAAGACAAAGTACATAAGCAAAAATGAAAAACAAGAATACAAACAATTACCGTAGCACAATAACACAATGGCGGGATGTATAAATACCGAGCCACGCCAAAAGTATAATTCAAAAAATGGACTAAATAGTAAAGGGTAAAAATATATAAGTTGCTGCCTAGTAACGTTTATCCTGCATTTTTCATTTTATATTCTTGTTACCAGTAATAATAACTATTTTTAAAGTTTTTTCTTGAAAACTTCTTGGTAATACTGGTAGCTTGGTGCTTACATATTTTTATAGAATAACACCACCCGGATAAATACGTTATTTCAAAGTCTGTTAACTTAATTATTCCATTTACAGGGAATTGCAGTCATTTAATGGAAGTTACGATGTAAAATCTATCATAACTGATTTTACAATCCAATCAACAGCTTCTTCAGATCATACCTTGATTATAAAATTTGACAATTTATTAGTAAGTTGTGTTAATTTTGACAAAACGTGATTTTTTTTTCTGTTGTTTTTTCTTTGTTTGTGAAGATGTCTTCTAAAACTATAAGGGTTCTTGAAAACACTATCAGTTGCAAACAGCTATGACAGCGTAACAATGTTTCATTCACTTTTGGTTCTTGCTTGTGTTCTTACGCGCATCGATTGTGTTACTTTACCACTGGTACAAACATCATTGAGTGCACCTTCAAGTGGCATATATCGTAACGCAAGCTAATGGATAATTTTCATGAAAATAACACTTTCTGAATATGGTGTGTCAATTCGCTTTTTGGGGTTTACCTTGACCAGAAACGGAATTCTTAAAAGGTTGAAAAATTGAGAAGCTACATGACAAAAGCATCCAGATGAAACACAAAATAGCCAAATCTCCCTAAGGTCAACATTAAATATTTTAAAAATGAATAACATGTGAGGTAACTCTGAAGAAATATGCGTACCTGCTAAATGTTTCTTTTTTCGTGCCGAACTACAAATCACCTATAACGTGTTTCAATTGGTCCTTTCAGCATGTCTATTGCGGCTATTTAAAACTTATGATTATGAAGACAATTATCAAAATTCATGTTCTTAAATTTCTTATCATAATCCATGAGCTTAAATTTCACGGATATTAAAAAGTCTAACTCGTCAAATATATCAGGCTTATCATTTGGTACGCTACATGCGTGTTTCGTCTACAAGAACACATCAGTGATGCTAGGATCAAAACAGTTCAAAACTAAAGCTGAACACAAACACCTAAAATTCACTTTAACGTGACTGAGTAAATTGTGTGAACTACACCACAGGTACTTGTTGACAGGATTTTTCGCCTTCTATACAATAGTTATTTCCCTCAGTCATTTTAATATTAGTCTTTAAGTAGTAAAGTAAGACGAATAATTATAAATTTTTCGACTAAAGTTACTCAGAGAAGCTATTTGTACACGCTTTTTTTGAGTGCATAATCATTTCACTTTTTCACGGGAGTAATGAAACCGAAAAAAAAAGTAACACACAACCCGAAGAAAGACTAAACGTTCCATGCTCCGTTTACAGTATTCCTAAAAAATATTTGATATTATACATAACAATGCTGTATCTTTTAATTTCATCCGCAGGCTATAACCTCACTTTAATACATTTTACAAACGTTTAATTGTGAAACTTATATTTTCAGTGTGTACATGGAACGTCGAAATGTTTTACTTGAAAGATGATATGTATCTTATATGGAAGACTTGAATTTCATGAGATTCTCATAGAATTTTACATGATTCTTTTGAATAAGAGAAGGATTAGAGAATCTAAATTAAAAAACAACAGCAACACAATAAAAAGTTAAAAGACTTACATCCAAAAGGCAGTTCAAAGTCTTATTTTGAAAGTCTAAAACCTTAAATAAAAGAAAAAAACATATATATAATGATACTCTGCTACTTTTTGAGGACACAAACATATTAAACTTTATACTTACGAAACATCGAAATCCCAAAATCCACAAAAAGGTCTGGAGTAATTTCCCTTGCAAAATAAAGTATCAAAATGAACCATGGTTCTTGATCATAATCTCAGCAATTTAATTTGTATATGTTACAATTCAATCATCCACTGATTCTTTGTTCTATTATTGCAATTGAATAACAGAATAAAAGCAATGATAAAGGCATATTTCATCTTTTCTTGTATTCCTTGGTATGTTGCCGGAAATTTTATATGGATGACTATGCATCCGTAGAAGACTGATAATGTCAATTACGAAAATCATGAAAGTTAAAATAAACAACAGTCAATTATCAGACAAAAATTTGTCTATTACACAAAGAAGCGCCGAACTTTTATGAGATCAAAAGCACCGTACAACGTTTAGTCTTTCTTCGGGTTGTGTGTTACTTTTTTTTTCGGTTTCATTACTCCCGTGAAAAAGTGAAATGATTATGCACTCAAAAAAAGCGTGTACAAATAGCTTCTCTGAGTAACTTTAGTCGAAAAATTTATAATTATTCGTCTTACTTTACTACTTAAAGACTAATATTAAAATGACTGAGGGAAATAACTATTGTATAGAAGGCGAAAAATCCTGTCAACAAGTACCTGTGGTGTAGTTCACACAATTTACTCAGTCACGTTAAAGTGAATTTTAGGTGTTTGTGTTCAGCTTTAGTTTTGAACTGTTTTGATCCTAGCATCACTGATGTGTTCTTGTAGACGAAACACGCATGTAGCGTACCAAATGATAAGCCTGATATATTTGACGAGTTAGACTTTTTAATATCCGTGAAATTTAAGCTCATGGATTATGATAAGAAATTTAAGAACATGAATTTTGATAATTGTCTTCATAATCATAAGTTTTAAATAGCCGCAATAGACATGCTGAAAGGACCAATTGAAACACGTTATAGGTGATTTGTAGTTCGGCACGAAAAAAGAAACATTTAGCAGGTACGCATATTTCTTCAGAGTTACCTCACATGTTATTCATTTTTAAAATATTTAATGTTGACCTTAGGGAGATTTGGCTATTTTGTGTTTCATCTGGATGCTTTTGTCATGTAGCTTCTCAATTTTTCAACCTTTTAAGAATTCCGTTTCTGGTCAAGGTAAACCCCAAAAAGCGAATTGACACACCATATTCAGAAAGTGTTATTTTCATGAAAATTATCCATTAGCTTGCGTTACGATATATGCCACTTGAAGGTGCACTCAATGATGTTTGTACCAGTGGTAAAGTAACACAATCGATGCGCGTAAGAACACAAGCAAGAACCAAAAGTGAATGAAACATTGTTACGCTGTCATAGCTGTTTGCAACTGATAGTGTTTTCAAGAACCCTTATAGTTTTAGAAGACATCTTCACAAACAAAGAAAAAACAACAGAAAAAAAAATCACGTTTTGTCAAAATTAACACAACTTACTAATAAATTGTCAAATTTTATAATCAAGGTATGATCTGAAGAAGCTGTTGATTGGATTGTAAAATCAGTTATGATAGATTTTACATCGTAACTTCCATTAAATGACTGCAATTCCCTGTAAATGGAATAATTAAGTTAACAGACTTTGAAATAACGTATTTATCCGGGTGGTGTTATTCTATAAAAATATGTAAGCACCAAGCTACCAGTATTACCAAGAAGTTTTCAAGAAAAAACTTTAAAAATAGTTATTATTACTGGTAACAAGAATATAAAATGAAAAATGCAGGATAAACGTTACTAGGCAGCAACTTATATATTTTTACCCTTTACTATTTAGTCCATTTTTTGAATTATACTTTTGGCGTGGCTCGGTATTTATACATCCCGCCATTGTGTTATTGTGCTACGGTAATTGTTTGTATTCTTGTTTTTCATTTTTGCTTATGTACTTTGTCTTCTGAGTGTCAATATGACATTTTGTTTTTCTTTGTTGAAATAGTTATTTGTTTTTATAGTGTTTAAGATTATAACACAATGTTGACTGCTGTACCCAATTTTTGACAATTTTACCTATTATGTCTGTTTGTTTTGCTCATACACTGTTGTCAATATGATGGAATTCTATGCGACTGTCATACAAGTGAGATGTTTAGGTAGCTATAAAATCAGGTTCAATCCACAATTTTCTACATAAGGAAATGCCTGTACCAAGTCAGGAATATGACAGTTGTTTTCCATTCGTTTGATGTGTTTTGATTTTGCCATTTGAGAAAGGACTTTCCGTTTTAAATTTTCATTGGAGTTCGGTATGTTTGCTGTTTTACTTTTTAAATAATAATTTACTGGATTGATTGATTGATAGATATTTAACGCCAAGTTTGGCACTATTGTGCTATGTAGTGGCGGTTAGAGTTTTATTGGTGGAGGAAGCCGGAGAGCCCGGAAAGAACCGCTGACCTTTGGTAGAAAAACTGACATTCCTAGTCAATTAAGATTGGAGTTGAGCGCACATGCCACGTAAGGGATTCGAACTCTCAACCTCAGTGTTGACAGGCTAGTGATACAGTAGCTCAACTACTAAAACCACCTGGCAACCGAGGCCCTAAAATAAACTGGATGTTCTCATTCAATCATGAATGACAAACAAGCATCTTAACATGATGAACTTTTATACAGTGAACTTTTTTGGTTAGTTTTGATAGAATAAAAGTCATAATCTAAATCAAAATATGTAATGCAATAAAGATATAATATGATGACAGATTTACAATCAGAAAATATGACTCACCCATTTAGCATCAAGTACTTTGGAAAGAATCTTGAAATATTTCGATAGAATGTGCTACTATATCCTGTCAAATCTATAAAAAAAATCCATTGACATTTTATTTTGTTTCATTTCGTCTACTTTACGCATTAGTCAAAAACAGAGAAAATCAAATAAGAATGTCACGACACCGATTTTCAAACTTTTCTTTAATCGCAATTAGTATTGCAATTTATGCCACAAATTTGTTTATGGTGTTAATGCATTGGCACTTAGACAATATAAAAATAAGAAGATGTGGTATGATTGCCAATGATACAACTCTCCACAAGAGACCAAATGACACAGAAATTAACAACTATCGGTCACCGTACGACCTTCAACAATGAAAAACCTATGTTTGAATTGAAATGTACAGTAAAGCTCCTACCTATACGTTCACCCCACTGTTTTTTAGCATTTATTTGCCCCTTAAAATTGGAGGATATGACAAACTAGAGGCTCTAAAGAGCATGTGTCGCTCACCTTGGTCTATGTGCATATTAAACAAAGGACACAGATGGATTCATGACAAAATTGTGTTTTGGTGATGGTGATGTGTTTGTAGATCTTACTTTACTGAACATTCTTGCTGCTTACAATTATCTCTATCTATAATGAACTTGGCCCAGTAGTTACAGTGGAAAATATTTTGTAAAAGTTTACAAAAATTTACAAAATTTATGAATTTTGTAAAAAATTGACTATAAAGGGCAATAACTCCTTAAGGGGTCAATTGACAATTTTGGTAATGTTGACTTATTTGTAGATCTTACTTTGCTGTACATTATTGTTGTTTATAGTTTATCTCTATCTATAATAATATTCAAGATAATAACCAAAAGCTGCAAAATTTTCTTAAAATTACCAATTCAGGGGAAGCAAACCAACAACGTGTTGCCTGATTGGTCTGACAATTTCAGGGCAGATAGATCTTGACCTAATGAACAATTTTGTCCATGTCAGATTTGCTCTAAATGCTTGGGTTTCAGAGATATGAGCCAAAAACTGCATTTTACCCTATGTACTATTTTTTAGCCATGTCGGCCATCTTGGTTCGCGGGCGGGGTCATCGGGCACATTTTTTAAACTAGATACCCTAATGATGATTGTGGACAAGTTTGGTTAAATAAAAGATTAGAAAAATTTACGAAAAATGGTTAAAAATTGACTATAAAGGGCAATAATTCCTTAAGGGGTCAACTGACCATTTCGGTCAAGTTGACTCATTTGTAGATCTTACTTTGCTGAACATTATTGCTGTTTACAGTTTATCTCTATCTATAATAATATTCAATATAATAACCAAAAACAGCAGCAACAACAACGGGTTGTCAGATTCATCTGAAAATTCCAGGGCAGATAGATCTTGACCTGATAAACAATTAACCCCATGTCAGATTTGCTCTAAATGCTTTGGTTTCAGAGATATAAGCCAACATCTACATTTTACCCCTATGTTCTATTTTTAGCCATGGCGGCCATCTTGGTTGGTTGGCCGGGTCACCGGACACATTTTTCAAACTAGATACCCCAATGATGATTGTGGCCAAGTTTGGTCAAATTTGGCCCAGTAGTTTCAGAGGAGAAGATTTTTGTAAAAGTTAACGACGACGGACGACGACGACGACGACGACGACGGACGACGGACGCCAAGTGATGAGGAAAGTTCACTTGGCCCTTTGGGCCTGGTGAGCTAAAACAGGGATATTCTAATAATACAAACACTATTAAAGTATTAAAGTTGCAAGTGTTTTTGTTCACTTCTTTAAATGAAAACATTCGATTTTTAATCTATAGAATGATGATTTGAAAATCCAAGGCTAACGTGACCTACAATGTTATACTGTTGGTTGTCCCTTTAAAGTCCTTTCGTATTTAACGCACTCTAACATTTTTGTATTTTTGGCTTTCCAAATGTTGGTCTCGAGCATTAATAAGGTTATTCAGGAAAAAATTATGTCGCGTCGTGTTGTTTTTGGTTGTGTGACATTTTATATCTTTTGCCACTGGTGTTCACAAAAACTGTGGAAAGTTGTTCCATGAAAACCTTTATTTCCTAGCTATAACTGGGTATGTACCGCTTCTGAATTGTCAACCTTGAGGCCCAGTAGCCAGTGCTTTCGTACTGATAATTTTCAAATAATAAATGTACACTTTTGCTTTATTTCTAGCTTATAGATTATGTAGTTGTAATACGATTAACGTTGCAACACCATAAAACCGCAGTCTGTTTCGGAAATTTTGTTTCAGTCCGTTTTGTTTTTAAAGCTCCAAATGTATTCTGTTTAGGCCTTAACGAACTATTGATCTTGATCATGAGAATACTAGTAGCAGAGGAATGTTATTCCACAAATATGTATATAATTATCATAGTTGTATAGGTTTATTTACCGTGATGTTTGCTCTTTTTCAGTTTGATTTCAGTCGCTGAATCTGTTATCCACGAGAATGATGTTTTCAAACGATCAGGCACAGTGATCTCGTCAGAGATAGTCTTTCCTACCTCAATTACTGAAATAATTTACTTTACTTTAAATCAAATTCCACATATGCACTGAGGTATACGTAGTTTGAGCAAAGCTCACAAAAAGATGTCCCTACCACTCGCAACGTTTAATCCACCATTTTCTACATAAGGAAATGCCTGTACCAAGTCAGGAATATGAAAGTTGTTTTCCATTCGTTTGATGTGTTTGAGCTTTTGATTTTGCCATTTGAAAAAGGACTTTTCGATTTGATTTTTCCTTGGAGTTCGGTATTTTTGTTATTTTACTTTTTTCCATAATTTGCCTAGGATATTCCAAAACAACAATTTCGGAAAAAATCAATAGATTCTTATTCATGTTAAGGGAGAGCGGATACAAACATAAACTGCTGTATGCGGATATTTCATGCTAAAGAAAATTTCGATATTCATTCGGATCATTTGAGTGAAAATCTGTCAAGCGGATACAAATGTCGGACGGAAGGACGTAAACACAAACAAAAGGACGAATAGACTGACACTACTATCACAATATACCACCCGCTTCCAACGGTATACCACTACTGATTTGTCGAATATGATAATTGTAAGCAAATCATGTCGACACATGTAACTTTTTGGTAGCGGACTGTAGTGAGTTTCAATATTGGGAAAAACATTTCACTCCTCTTCCGATATTTTAAAAATAATAGCTGCCTATCCGACAAGGAGAAATCAATATAGATTTTCAATTTTTAGGGCCTCGTGATGTTTTTGCTTACACTTTTCAACCAACTATTTGTGATGATTATATGTGGAATGTTGTCTTTCATGCTACAAGATCTACTCTGGTGTCTTGTCATTTCATTTCTTGAAGTGAAGAGTTCATGTCACATCGTTTTGCTGACACAAGTCACAAGATAAAATGATTGTCAAAACCAACTTTGAATGAATAAAAGCATTTGATTAGACATGTTAGGTTTTTAAGCTATTATTATTTGCGTTAATAATGATTGTACATCTATAAGAAAGTTAACTATAAGGGAGACAAAACATGAAATTGAAAATTTCGTAAAGTACATGTGTAATTGGCACTTCAAACTGAAATTGTTTTTTTATTTTTTTGTAAGATATAACTAAATATGAATTTTATTTTATTTTTAGGCTTTCCTAATTGAGTTTTATACAAAAGTACTTATCATTCTCATTGAAACAGGTACCTCACATTTTAAATTCACACGTGAGCACATGAGGTAAAACTGAATACAAACGAACCTATATTTTCCTTTTGAACAATCATTGCGAATTCTCCGTCTATAACCTTATGAAACACTGTATTGTAATCGGTAACTGTTTTTACTACAGAAGGGACACCACTTATAGTGTTAGAGAACATTCGTCTGATAGGTATTTTCATTGTCTATTACAGGTGTTACTACTCGAGTTGGAATGTATTAACCTCGCCTAATGGATACAATGTATAAGACATATGTCTTTAAAATCCTTACTTCCGGTAATATCCGAAATGGCGGACATAGAAATATCAAATTTTTACTTTAATATTCAACTTTTTATAAAATGTAAAGAAAACATTTTTTTTTTGTGATGGTCCTTTAACTTTTGGCTTTAAGTTATCCTCCAAACCACTAATTCTATTCTGTTGTAAATGTTTAAATACAAAGTTAACACTTCCGGTAAAAAAATATTAAAGATGAGTCCTCAATCCATATCTTCAATGTTGAGTTTTGGATAGATTGATTAAAACTAATTAAAATCACTAATAAAAGTACTAAAACATTTTTTAAATTACTACTATTGGGCCAAAAATACATGTTTATTCACAGTCACCACCACATGCACACAAAGCAGTGCAGGGGGGACCCGATTTTCCACATTAACAACGACCACGGCATCCTTTCTTACATCCACAAAGTACAAGCTTCTGACAAAATGATGAGGTCTCAGAAAGAGTTTTTTTAAAGTAATCCTCTTTGTCCCTTCGCCATCCATTAACGCCTGGACTGGGTAGCACAAGAGCCAATTCCAAGTTCGTCCCCCTTAACATCTGCCTTAGTATATTGCACGTTTAACATGCTGGAAAAGACTAGACCAAGTTGGGGAATAGCCTCAATTAGCCTTCCCTTTTGCTTTTATTTTCTTGCTTCATTTACCATGTTCTTGTCCTAGGCAATAAACCCTGGTTGTTAGGCGCAACTTTTTGGAAGTTTTGGTCCTCGATGCTCTTCAGCTTTGTACTTGTTTTGGCTTTCAAACTTTTTTCATCTGAGTGTCACTGGTTGGTCTTGTGTGAACGAGACGCACGTCTGGCGTATTGAATTTTAAGCCTAGTACCTTTTGTTAGCTATTATTCGTGTGTTTCTTTGTCCTATATGTTCTCCCATTTATTTGTATTGTGGTCTTGTCATGGGATGTTGTCGTTTTGGTGTTGTGTTTGACGTTGCCATAAAAGCGGGAGGTTTGACATGCCACAAAACCAGGTTCAACCCACCATTTTTTTTTCTTAACATGTCCTGTACCAAGTCATGAAAATGCCCATTAATATATTATAGTTCGTTTCTGTGCGTGTTACATTTTAATGTTGTGTTCTTGTTGTGTCGTTGTTCTCCTCTTATATTTGATGCGTTTCCCTCAGTTTTAGTTTGTAACCCGGATTTGTTTTTATCTCTATCGATTTATGAGTTTCGAACAGCGGTATACTACTGTTGCCTTTAATTAACCCCCATCTGATAAGTTTGTGCGATCTTACAGTTAAACCCCGGTGATTTAGGCTGATCAATCATCATTCCTTATGTTAAAGTCACATCTTTAAATGCCATCAATGTCTCCCACGCAGTCTTTTTTCCTTTTCAAGCGAACATAGAACCGTATCACAACAGGTTAAGGCATGGATCACAATAAGTCTGTGTGATCACTTATTGCCTAGTGCATTTGAAAGGTCATTGATAGATATTTATCCAAAGCTTTTCGCCCTCCCAAACACAATCCATAGTTCGTCTACCCCTATGTCACGGAATAGTGAAATAGTAATGACAGCATCGTCAGTAACAACTGTTCGAATCATGACTCGTTTGCGTTCGTGTTTCACTGCATCAGACACATGCACCATGATTCTAGTGTCAACCTCTTAATGCGAACACGGGGCTAAACTTGAAATACTTCACATGGTGGATAAGATAGAATATCCTGTGCATTTGTTGCTACAACTACCATACGCATCTAATACTTCATCCACTCCTGTAACAGTTTTAAGGTATTTTTTAAGGTAAGGACATAATACCCTATCAGCCTACTCGTTATGAAACACCTTGAAACTGTAACAACAGTGGATGTAGTCTCGGATGCGTACATAGACAATACCGGTAGTTTACAGGCTGCTAAAAGAAGCAAGAGCTACATTTAGGGGAAAGGGAATACACAGGCGAATCCAGGGTCAAAACAAATTCCTCAAAATTGGCAAAGTTTTCTGAGAGATGACGACAATAAGAAAGAACTTTTTAGTTTTCATTCACAGCAGATTGCTCAATAGATTTTGAGGAAAAGATAGTTGTAGCAACAAATGCTGAGGATGTTCTGTGTTATCCACCACATGATGATGTTTCAAGTTAAGCACCATGTTCACATGAAGAGGCTGACACTAGAATCAAGATGCATGTGTCTGATGCAGTGAAACACAGACTTAACTGGTTCATGACTCGAACAGTCGATACTGATGTTGTTGTCATTGCTGTTTCGCTATTCCATGACATAGGAGCAGACGAATTTTGGCTTGCATTTAGAAGTGGGAAAAGCTTTAGATATATATCTATCCATGACCTTTAAAATGCACTAGGCATTGAGAGATTACACGTTTGCTGGAAAAGGAACTGCGTTGGTGACATGGATGGCGTTTGATGATGTGACTTTATCATTTAGAATGATGATTGATCAGCCAACATCACCAGATATGGATTTGATAATGTCATTGATAAACGATACGTGATTTTGTTGTGAGATCGAAAAAATTTATCAGATGAGGTTAACGAAGCTAGAAAACATGTGTTTTTGGAAGAGGAAAGACTTATTGAGGCTATTCCCACGACTCGGTCTAGTCTTTTTCAGCATGTTAAACGTGCAATATACCATGGCGGGTGTGAATGAGTAACAAGCTTTGAATTGGTTCCAATGCTAACTAGTCCAGACGCTTATGAATGGCGAAGGGAAAAATATAATCAATGGGAACCCTTTTGGACAACTCTTTGTGAGGCCTCTTCATCTTATCAGGAGCTTGTACATTGGATGTAAAAAACAATATCACGGTCTTTGTAAATGTGGAAAATCAGCTCTCCGATTGTGAATAAACATGTATTTGCGGCCATAAATTAGTAATTCAAAAGATGTCTAAGTACTTAAGTGATTTTATTTTGTTTTAATCAATCTATCCAAAACTCTACATCGAAGATATGGATTGAGGACTCATCTTTGAAATTTACGCCATATTGGTTTTTTTTACCTGAAATGTTATTTTTGTATTTAAACATTTACAGTTGAATAGAACTAGTGGTTTTGAGGATAACTTAAAGCCAAAAATTAAATGACCAGCACAAAAAAAACATTTTCTTTACATTTCGAAAAAAAATTAATATTAAAATAAAAATTTGATATTTCTATGTCCGCCATATTGAATATCACCGGAAGTAAGGATTTTAAAGACATATGTCCTATAAATTGTACCCATGAGAAGCACCAAAGAAAGGTTCCTGCACAATATAATGATAGAAGCAATACTTTAAAACACATTTCAATTACCCTCCCTAAAAATAAGCTTATTTTAGTACAATGTCCGCCATGTTCGATTTTACCGGAAATAGGGTTTTTGAAGACATCTTATCTATATAATATATCCAAAAGTAGTACATAACAAAGGTTTGTACCAAATAATATGATAGCAGCTTGATAATAACACCTTTTCACATACTAGCCATCGATATTGGGCTGATTTAAGTATGATGTCCGCCATTTTGGATTTTACCGGAAATG